GGGTCCCACTGAGGTAAGAAAAGCCCCTTAAGTATAGCTAACTTTACAGTCCTACATTAACACTGTATTTTCTAGACTTACAATAAGGTTTTCTACCAGAGCCATAAATAAAAACCACCATCTGCAAATAGAACTGGTTTTCCCCTAGCTACCAACTTAATATTAATCCAAAGGTATTTGAAATTGATTTTTGAAAGTTATTTTTAAAATACTATAAACATTAATTGAAATTTGGGAAGTGAAAAAAAATAGTAGAGGGAAATCCAAGAAAGCCGTGCTCAAAACAAGTCAGTTTTTCTGCCACCTGACACATACAACTATGTTTTATGAAGTTTACCCAAACAAATGGAAATTTTGAAGTTGCTCACCAACTTTCAAAAATAAAGATGCAAAAGCAGTCATTAGTATTTATTTTTAAGCAGCTTCAGATTGTTTTACAAACATTAAAATCTCAAAACGTTAGCTACAGGACACCGGCAAGCTTTGTTTTAACTAGATTACACGTGCTTTCCAGTTATATTCTTTTCCACTCTCCTTCAGTGAGCCCTGCCACATACGATGGACCAAGCTTATTCAAGTAACTTCACCAGCTATGTTTTTGTTACTGGAAGCAGAGCAGGATAGATGTTTTCTTTGATGCCTCCAACCCTATAAACACTTAAGAACAGGTTTAAAAAGATTTGCACTTTTATGTTTTAAGTACCTTTCAGTTTTCTGTTTCCTTTATATTGGACTGTTCACATATGTGAAGTACAAATTTGAAGTGTTAAAAGAACCAGGGGCCCAATTCACTACTTTTTTGTTTTTAAGGAAAAAAATATATTGAAAAGGCAAAATATCTCTACAAATGTGACTATTTCTAAAAAGACTTTGCCGTATAAATGCTGACAAAACCTTGAATTTTATTTTTAAAGAGCCATTAGCATCTCCCCGTAATGCTCATCCTCTTTTTGCAAAAGAATGGACATAATGAGTTAGGCAAAGTTTTTCTTTTTAAACCAATTTGAATTTGTACCTGCTGAATTTTAACTTTTGCTTCCTAAGTGTCAAGTGAAGCTTCATCCCTCATGCAAATAGCTATCCCATTATCAGCAGAAAAAAATGCAGCACTTGGGTTTGTAACGCAGGAGGTCCTCAAGAAAAAATGGTGGCAAATCTCAGAAACCAGAGAAATATTAAAATCACAAAACTTTAGAGCTAGTTATAACAGGTCTGCTATCACACTGCAGAAAGTAGGGCATCCACGCTTTTCAAAAGAAAGTAACATAAAAGCAGGTTGCCAGGTAGCTCATATGCTGCCACTAGCCCCTCTTGCTGGCAGTGCGTTCTGAAATAGCAGAGCCTTCGTAAAATCAAGTACTGCCTTCCTCCAGCCAAATCAGTGGGGAACAAAATTTCAAAAGGTTTTTTCTGCCACCTAGGACCTCCCACTACAAAACCACTACCAACACTTTGTGGTGAAAAATTAGCTATTTTTTCCTTATGCAGTATTTTCAAAAAAATATCTGTCCCCTAAAAACAGATATCGCAGCATGTTATAACTGTTAAAAAAAAAAACCCAACAACCTAGACTGTAACTCGCTATATCGACCTTTTTAAGAAAAGGCAAGTACACTTGCTGTTTAAAAGCAGGTCATGTGTTAAATTCTAAATATGGGAGCGAGATCAGATTTGCTGGTATTCCATTACAGGTGAGGCGGGAATAGATGAAACAAGCCTCCCCCCAACTTACTAATCAAAGATCGTAACTTACCTTTTCCCTGACAAACAAGAGGCATTTAAATGTTTTTAAAACTCCTATTAATCTGATCATAACGCTCAAAATTTCATAGCAACAGGCAATTCTTATCAGCCAGCTTAGTTTTGTTTTTATTTAAACACTTAAATTATCTGGAGCTGAATAGTAAAAGCAAACACAAGCAGAAACTTTCAATTAAAAAAAAAAAGAAAATATGCCTCTGATACATAAAGTAACAAAAATAACTACCTCAAAAGTTCCACTGCAAGGGAAAAGAGAATGTAAGCTAATTTTATATTTCATGTTTGAAACAATAAAAGCACGGTAGAAATGTAAACTAACAAAACATCCTCGAATACCCCCACATGTTCTAAACCCAAGCAAATTCCAATCATTCCTAATGCTCAAAAGTTTACATACAGGCCGCTTCTCAACGGAGACACAACTTCAGGGAAGCTGAAACCAACAGCTCAAGTTAGAATTTCACAGAATAATTACTATTACAATTGTGAACAAGATCTTTCAGAGCTGGGCGCCTGAAGAACAACAAGAATTTAAACACCAAACACCTAAATACGATCCGGCTCTTCACGTTTCAAGTGCCAATACTCACCAATGACTCTGGCGGCAGCTGCCTGGCACACAAAGCTTCAGAAGGTGCTTAAATGCAGACTCAAAAATGTAACTTGAGGCACCCCAATCCTTATCGTTGTTTTTAATAACATCTTGGCCATGTCTCTTTACATCTGAATCATGGAAAACCAGATATCCAAACCCACATCCATTACTCAGACTGGCCCTAGACAGAAGTGAAGCACTCCATACCATACGTAACATGCCCATGAAAACCAATTCAAGCAAGAGCAGTTTTTGCTGCCCCATAAACTTACTGAGAAATGAATTAGTGACAAAAAGAATAAAAACGATTTTTAAGAGCTGTTTTTTCTGTGCCGCAATATTCCATGAACTATGTGCGGCAGAATCTTTTTACTTGCACACAGCCAGCACCGACTGGAGTCAGTTTATCTCTGCACCATGCAGGGTAATGTACACACAAGTCTCACAGTGAAACTGAGGTTTTAGTGTAAGCCACGCTGGCTTTAAGTTAAGCTATTAAGAAAGTAAATTACATTTTTCTAATTCAGTAAACTCAATTTTGATTAAAAAAAAAAAAGACTTAAATTTAAATGCAAACTAGTCTGCATCAGAAGGCTGAATATCAGTATTTGGTCCAGTCACTATTGGTGTAAGTAACTATGACTACTGCTGTGATGGCATACGTTCTCTCTTTCTGTTAAAACGTATGGAAAGAAAATACTCTATCAATAAATAATTTCTAATTAAAAAAAACCCACTTGCAACCTGCCATACAGCTCCAAATCCTCACATCTCAACCCAGAATGTAATTACTACAAAAATATCGAAATACAAGTATGAGGAGTTTTACAGGTCATTTTAACTTCTATCAATTATTTCAAACTTAGTTTAGGCAAGTAGGTGTTATTTTTAACATAGGAAATTTAGGGTGATTTTGGTCCCTTTTTAAGCGCGTTCTTTTGAACTCCCTGAGTACTGTACATTCCTTTCTACAGTGATTTCTGACTGGAAGATGCTGAACAAAGTGGTTTTGCATTGCTGCATAAGAAGTCAAGTCAATTGCTTAAAGTGAAACACAGCAGCATAAGATTTTACAAAATATGCAGGTGTGTGTTTCAGCATTTTGCTCCAACTTCTCCAAATCTCTCCTGTAGATTCTAGAAGTGGCTAATTTCACATCATTAAAGAAAACCAGTATGTAATTACTGTTATTATTTATGTCTTGGCAGATAATTCTTACCAATCTACTGTCAGTAATATCTGCAAGTTAACACAATGGAGTTATTCAAAGCCCTCTTGGACCACACATCTCAATTCAGGCACTCTGAGGTCAGTAGCTATAGTTATGTAGGAAAATAAACATACCTGTCACCAACCATTCAACCACCTAACTCCACATTTTCAAAACACAGTAGTTCATAGCAGTTGATAATTAAAATAATAATTAAAAAATATTATACCACTTAATTAATTTAATAATTAAAAAATATTACTACCACTGAACTGTAGTTCATCGAGTTCCGAAAATAACTGTGAGTCAAAGCAGTGCTGAGCATTTACTTATTGACATTTTCCATTTTCACAAAGACAACAACTGGGCAGCACATTCAAACATAAAACAAATTCAGGTAAGATGTGTTTACTTTTTAAAAAATAATTTATAAATAACAAATTATCAACAGTTCATTATGTAGCATCAATATAAAGAGTTTAAAGTTACTGAATCAATCAGTATATACTAAAGATAAGATACTTTGATACCAAACGAGGCCTCCAGTTACTCAAGAACTTTGAATTATTTAGCTCATTAAAGGATAGTACTATACCTTAAATTCAACAGATATGGCTGAATCTGTGCACTAATTAAAATATAGTATCATAACTGCACATAAAAAGATTTACTCATATATAGTCTTTACAGTGTATGCATGTGTGTGTGTATATTTTTTTACTCACCAACAAACACAATGCAGACAATAGAAGGCGGCATAGAAATAGTGTTTTGAATATAAAAATGTTTCATTTTCAATTTAGTAGAAAATGTGTAATTTGCATTTTGGCAGACTTACTGGTACTACTATACAAAACCAGGAAAACGGTCATGCAAAGGGGTTAAGATTATTCTTCAACTTATATAAGGGAAAACAAAAACACCTAGCAGATTTGAGAATACTTTGCAATTAATGGGAAAAGCATCCAAAAGACAAAATACAGAAATGGTTGAGTTTTGTTCTTTTAAACCTGGCTGTACCCTAGTACAGATGACAAGTTTTATTTTGATGCTCAATAAAAAATGAAAATAAAGTCTTTCATCCTTCCACAAATATTTTGTAAAAACCCAACTGATTTCAGAATCATAGTGGTTTAATGGCCATTTAAAAAAAAACGAACAACACAACAAACAAACAAAACCAAAAACAGAGAAGAAAGTATTATGGACATAAAATGTTACCAAAAAAATAACCACACTCAAAAATATATTTTTCTTTCCCCTACTTACAATTATGTTTGTTTTAAAAAACAAAGTTTTCACAATATCAGACCAACTATTGGCTTTTCTAATAAACTTGTTAAGTACTCTCCCTGTACATCCTGCTTCTCTTCAGCATTTAGCAGTTGTTCTCATACACAAGGTAATGTCTCTGAAGGAATTCAATGGTTTGTATTTTTTGACAAATAAGGTATAGCTTTTTGTATTTCATTGAGTTATTCATTCTGGTTTAGCTGCAACGTCTAACATGCTCCAAAACATATTCAGGAAAGTGCAAGCTGCAGACTTGTAAGCCATCCAGCTTGCACGGCATCCTTGGATATTCATCTTCTTTCCATTTGTTTTCCTCTGGATCAAAGGTGAGTATTGAATCACTGTAATGACCATTGTAACAAAGGCCTCCAAGAACCATTATCTGTTTGTCCAGAACAGCTACACCATGACCACTCCTACCAATTGGCATAGAAGCCAGTATAGTCCATTGATCAGTATCTGGGTCATAAACTTCTGTAGAAGGACATCCTTGAGATTCAAAGGAGGCCCTCAGGATCACACAGACACCACCAAAGACATAAAGCTTACCATTATGAGAAATCATTTTGTGAAAGCATCTGGCGTAATTCATTTTGCATTTGTTCTCCCAACAGTTAGTGACCACTTGAGTTCTCCTTGTTCGCTGCTCTACTGTCCCTTCTTTACTGGGATCAAACACACACACTTGCTTAGAAGTTGAAGATGATGTAATTCCACCAGTGATATACAACTTGTTACCAAGCACAGTCCCTTCATGTCCATATTTATTGACTGGATAGGGATCCACAAATTCCCATTTATCTTCAGTAATATCATACCGTTCAGTTGAGTAAAACGTTTCATCCCTGGTTCTCCCAGCCACTGCATAAACATATCTCCCAATAACTCCAACAGCAAATTCAGAACGTGGAACAGACATGTCTGCCATTCGTAACCAAGTGTTCTGTCTTGGGTCATATCTAAACACTTTGGATGAAGCATGAAACTCACCATCTGGCCCCAGTTCTTCCCCACCTAATAGGAACACAAAGTTATTCACAATGGCAAGGCAGTCTGGTCGTAAAGGTACTTGAGGACCTTCTAGTTCCCACCAGACCCTTGGTTTGTGCAAGAGAAGAATTTTACTGTTTACCATACTGTGTCCTATCATTCCTCTAAATACTGCAGTCTGGGGTTTGGCAGAACGAATTTTGTTCGATTTCATTTCCATCAAAGGCTGTTGGTGAACGCTATGAAAGTAATTCATGGCTTGGTCAACCTCATGTCGCAGCTGCCGGGAGTATCGATAAAACTCTGATGTTTTTACCTATGAATACATTTAAAAGATATTAAAATTCTGATCACGAGAAACAATCCAGAAAAACCTAAATGACTATGTGTCATTAGATTATTTTACTTAGTTTCATTCAGGCAATCTTGACAGCAATTGCATTCATGCACAGAGAGTTAAGCTAATGTACTGTTATCCAAAATCCAGAAGGCAATTCAGTGATTAACAGAAGTGACTAACATTTTCAGCAGAATATTCACATGCAGAATTTAAGCTGGAATTAGGCACAACTGAAATCCCCAAGTCTAAAAATCATTCTTCCTTCTCCCCCAAAAAAGCCTTTGCTCATCTTGTTTAATCCATGAAGCGTCTAAATTAAAAATGCAGTTTTCCTTATTTTGAAAAACATTCTACACACCCATCTGTGTTTACCAAGTTCTACCCTGGTCTAATTTCTGCTGAATTCTCACAACCATGCCCAATGGTATTCCCAAATGCTAGGCTCTGCTCACAGCACTATTTAATTGAGGTGAGGTGGCAAAGAAGGTACCCAAACCCCCTCCTTCAAAACAAGTGATGACACTAACCATTTGTCATGATGATTATCTTACGGTTTCCCCTCTGTTGAGTCTCCACATGTTAAAAAACGCCTTTAACACAAGAGGAAAACATCTCAACCTATAATCCTTTGGTTGTGCATTTGTTTGTTAAATTGTGGAGGTAGATTTGAACTTCCACCTCCCAGGTAAGAGTTACAACCTTTGAATTACCAGAGAGTAGTGAAGTGCTCGTTCTTGGTGCCACCTCAATTTGAAAAGAGCTATCTCTGCTCAGTTTTATTGGAGTTAGGAGGTGAGGGGGGAGATTGTAAGATTTTACCTTTCCAGGACCCCTCCTACTATCTAAGCCAATTTAAGTTCCTGAGACTGGTCCTGAGACAACATCAAAACACATCTCTGCCTTGAACGTTTTATTAAGTCTAGCTTCAGTCAGCCCTCAGGTCACCATGTGGTTCTCTCCAAAGGGGCTTCACTTGTCCTGTACAGTCTGGTCCAACACAGCATTCCACATTACACTTCTAAAACAAATAAAAACCTGCTAGATATTGCCAAATCCACAAATCCTCTATCGGGTTTGATCCTAAGTTCACATAAAACTGGATTGCTTTCAAACACTCTTCTATCGGGTTTGATCCTAAGTCCCAGTTTCTTTCACATAAAACTGGATTGCTTTCAAACACTCCAAATGCCATAGTTCCAACCAGCTCCAAAAAGAGAAGCTATGCTCTGAAAAAAACATCAGGCCACTTTTCATGTATATGAAAAGCATTTTGGAAATGAATGTTCTTTGTATCTTGTGAATAAAGTAGCTGCTTGTTGCATAAACACGTACTATTTAAATTTTGTTAGCTTTCTGTTAATAATTTCTCTTCCCTGGATAGTAATTAAGACATTCTGCTGTCAGACAAACTTTTTTAAAAAAATATTTTGAACTGTAATTATTGGACATGATTCACACAGATTTTGAGATTGTTTTACACACTGGATTTTCAAAAAAAGCTGAATACTGACCTACCATTGCAAAGCACTGTATAGCTCAAGAGTTACAGTGATCTGATGGTTTTATTTATACTTTTACTTTAACCACTTTATTTTGAAAAGTTCAACTTATCTTTGCTTGGAAGAAGAGGATGGTTGCATAAAGATCACATATATTCTCGGGGCAATATCCAACTTATTTCTACCATTTTTACCAGGAAGATGATGGAGTAAAAAGGTTTACCCAGGTATAGTGCTTACAAAACACCCATAGTAAGCCCAACTCTTCTGGGGAATAACAGATCTATTTTCTTAGTGCAAATAAAGAATATATCATATAAACACAGGAGATTTGCTCATACGGAATTTGTTAGAATAAACCATATACCTTGCCTGACTGAAAAGATTGAACATAAATTCCAGAAAATATGCTGGGGGAGGGGCAGCAGGGAGAACCACAGCACAGAAAAATGGTAAAATAAAGAAAGCCTTAAAGGTTACAAAAAAATAAACAGGAAGTTAAAATAACAAAGAATTGTGGATAGGTTATTTTATCCTTAAAAGTAACTTTGAAATTCTAAAAGAGCACAACTATTTCACAAATTCCCAAACTGGAGCTATCATTTTTTTAATTAAACAAAAAGATAAACGATTTTTGTTCCACCTATATGTATTTCAAGTTTTCTTGGATGATTACAGAAGACAACAGGATCAACATGTTGACAACATGAAGCATGCCAGCAAAACCTGGCAGAGATGGAAAACATTTTTTTTTTTCTTTTCCCCTCAACATTTACAACTCTGTCTTTAGATCCAGAAATTTAAATGTCAGCCAGAATCTGGAATTAAAATAAGCCTCATATATCCTCACCACTCTACTCCTTCACATAGCCTAAATCTCACCCCACTAGGGTATGCAAAAGGAAACAAGGAATATCTCTAATTCCAGAAAGAGAATCTCAAGACCAGGGAAGCAATCTATTAGTAGTTTACTACTGCTTTTCTTAACAAAGACACTAACATCAAAGCAAAGCCTCAATCTCTTACCTTAAACCAGAAAGACGTCAAGAAGCAAATCCAACTACCAGTTATAAACAACTCTTTCAGACTGAAGTTCATGGGGAAGCTATCTACAAACACAGTCTTGAAGAGATGATCATGAAAATGTATAAGCACTAGGAATTCTTACACTATTCAGAAAAAAAAAAATGAACCACAAAACAAAACAGACTGACAGACTACCTAAATTCTGTTAAGAAAAGGTAGCTGGAGGCTTCCTAGACCTTGCTGTTGAGGAAAAATATCTGTGTTTCTAGCCTTCCACCTTCCATCAGAACAACCTCAGGCCATACTGGAGCAGCACCTCTCCTGAGGCTCAAAGGATAGTCTAAGATGAATGTTAGGATTCATCTATATCTGAAAGTACAGACTGCTTGTTTGATGCAAATGAAGACAAAGCAAATGTAGGTCAGTTTGCCCACTTTCACATTCACACACTGTGTGAAATCTTCCATAATTATTTGAAAGTCCTATTCAGTCCATAGTAAGAGAAACCCTCCAAACACCAACACTTCTGAATAATTTCAGAATACTTTTAATTACTTGTGTGTATAATGAAAAGAGAGAAGCATTAAAATTTAGGTGGTTAGGTATAAAAATACAACTGTGAGTTGTGCATATATTTTAGTTTTAGTAGATTAAAGGCCATGGCCTTCAGCAAGCCTTTTGTGGGAATTTGTGTCTGACACCCAAAACATGCTGAACGAAATCTTTCAGCATTCAAAAGCAGGCTTCTGCCATTACCTGTAAGCAGCAACAAGCAGGTGATCAACAAATATCTAAGTGCTTACCAACAGACCTATTCTCCTGTTAAATTCAAATGCAGAACCTCTAGAAGGAACATGCACCTAACTGCCAACATACTCAACTACAGAGAACACTCACAAATTCAAATTTCTGCAAAACATCCAGAACAGATGGAAACTACACTAACCTGATGAACCTTGAGCAAATTCTTCCTTCTACTTGCAAAAAAAAAAAATATTTTACTAGAGATTATGCTGAATCAAAACCAGACATCCATCAATCCTGCTAACTAGGATACTTATTTTCACACCTACCAACCTCTTGCCATATTCTAAGCACAACTGTAAGCCTGTCAACAAACATTATCACCATGTTAACACATGTATTCCAAATCAAAATTCAGTCAAATAGAAAAAGTCACATATATGTTTCTAAAACAGCAGCAGTCAAAATTACTTTGCAATCAAACATCAGCACACAGAGCATTGGACAAGCTGTTGTGCTTAACTTTCCCTTTTTCTATCAAGGGGCACTACTTAGTGACATTCCATGGCCAGTATGAAAACTGGTCAGTACCAGTATAGGGCCTTGAAGGGCTATTCTGCAAGTGCTATCAATCACTTATTGTTTTTCAGCCTAACCATATAAACAGGAGACGGCATAGCCTCTGTGCTGCAAGGACAATGCCCTTAAAATGAGTATTTTGCTGTGCCTTTTTAGAAACTGTTAAGAGAAACTATCACAACCAAGCTGGAAACTAACTCAAATCTAATCTTTCAAATCAGAGTGGAGCCAACAATCTATATGCCAGAATTGAGATCCTTAGCACATAATAAATACTGACAGCAAATCTATCCAAGTCAGCAATAACATTTAGACATTAAAATATTAAGTGTGGCACCTACTTAAGATAAGAAGGGCCCACTAACCTCATCCACTAAACACTTCTTATTCTAAGCTTCACCATACGAAGTTGTAGAAGTACACATATATGAATTACTAGACATGGAGTAAACGAGAAAAAAAAAAAAGATAAATTCAAAATATTTATAAAAGGTGAAGTCACAATGACATAAAATTACAAGGACATTTTCTCAAAAGTTACTATTTTCTAGGGACAGGGAAGCACGTACTCAAAGATAACATGCTATTTATTCATCTTACCTCTAAAACAGAAAATCATGCATTTAGTGATCAGTAAGTTTCTGATATAAGCTGGGAATTTATAAATCAGCATGAGCTAGTTATAACAAACCCTACAGACTGGGTGTAAAAAACCCCCCATCTTTTGATTTTAAGGACAGACATTCTGAAACAATACTTCATTCTAAGTAGCACACAGAAACTAAATGGAGCTTAAACAGTATATGAAGGGAAATCATGAGATGGTTGCCTACAATAACAGAGATGAACCCAATGATCTAAGAGAAATGCCCTCTAACTTTTATCTCCAACCTTCCTCAAGACTTACAGAGCCACGGATATGTTTCAAATAAAGGAGAGTGTAATGTGGAAAATGGAACTTGTGCTTCTCACCATATACTTTGACTTGATTTTCTAACTATTCCCCAAATTCTTACTTTTCTTTCCATTTTCCCTCACACATCTACATCTATTTTAAGGGCTGAAAACCAAAAAGAGTATCTATTCATACTTCAGAAGCAGTTCTTTCATGACAGTTTAGAGTAAGTGAACAGGCTCACTTCAAATGTACATCAGCCTCAAGGTATAAATCCAGAGTCGCTCCTCAATCCCTTTTTAAAAGGACAAGCCATCAGATTGTACATCTTTTAAAAAAAATGATGTAAGAAATAGAATGCCTTAAGAGGCCAAAAGTATCCTTACTGTGACTTGTAAAGTTACGTTACGTAAGTTATTTATACACTACAATGACAGGAATCTTAGAAATGCATATTAGGAAGATTACATAAGAGTACATACGACGAGCCAGCCAGCGTATAGCAAATAAAGAGTTCGCGGAACCGTAAGAGTCAACCTCAGGCTGAATTTGGTACGTTCACACAGGCGTTTAGTATGTGCTGGCTTCAGGACTAGGGTGAATTCTGTTTGTGGATCTCCAAAAAAAAAAAAAAGCAGTTTTACCAATACTTTCCCCCTTCTAACCTTCTACACACAGAAGAAAGTTCTCATCAGGTTACTTCCAGAACAGTTAACAGACATGCTCTTTTTATTTAAAAAAAACCCAAAACAAACCAAACCAAAAAAAGCCAGCATGGTCTATATTTTGATGTTAGCTCCAACTGCAGTTGTCCTGTGTCACTTGTCATGCTGGATTACTCAATGTTCTCTAGCCAGGGCACTCCATTCCTAGCTGCAGTAACAAATGACACACTTATTTAGCCATGCTTCCCTCTGCTGAGTTGTCTCCCACCAGAACCTGCACTTGCTTCTCTCTATTCCACATACAATTAATGGAAAGGGCATTCACAGATCAAGATTCTACCTGTGCGTATATAAACTGGGATGCTGAAAATTACTCCTCTCCTTAAGTTGTACCTATCTGGCCATTTGGTAGCTATCAAGATAAAACATGAGAAGCAATGTACGTGGGATTTATGCCACTGATACCAAAACCAGCTCCAGAAGTTTATATAAATGTAATGCTGAAGACCAACACGTACTTTTCACTTGCACTTAGAGAAATTTAACTGAAGACAGCTTGATGCTTCAGCTTGTACCCTAAAAACTCAAAGAGTTGAAGCAGACTCTTTCACACAATTCTGACCCTATTGGATCAAACTTAACACTCTGTAAATCCTATTGGTTTTCCTACTGAAGGGCTTAAATGATGTGATAATAAAGTAAAAGCGTTATTAAAAAGCTTCCTCTACTCGATTCGCACATACAAAAAAAACCCAAAATATAAAAACTCACTAGTCTCTGAAGTAATTAATAGCGTTTATAATTTAAAATACAAATAAGTGTAAGCATTACTGCTTAAATGATCCAGTAGCCCTCGAAACCACCAAGAACAATACAACCTTATCTGTAGATTCACTAGATGCCAAAGTAAAAATATATGGGAAATTAATTTCTAAGAAGCCCAAAACCAACACAGGGTCTTAAATCCTATTAATTCACTGAGAGTTGAAAAATACACAATTTAAAGTTTTATCTTATCACACAAAATTAACATTGTTAAAACAAAACAGCACAGTTTAAGTAATTCTGAACCTGAATATCTTTATGTTACTAGCCTGCGAAGAGAGCTGCTTACAAGGTTTTGTAATTCTCTACTGTTGACAAATACTCAGAGATTCTCAGGAACTAGAAAACAACATTTTTACCTGTTCTTCAACAGAACAGTAGAAAAAGCAAGTTCTCTTTTAACCTCTTAATATATACCAATGATCAGCTGCATTTTAGAACACCTGTTACAAAGATTCCTCTAATATTTAAAGCAAATAATTACATTTCATACCTTCAATAACTTTTGATTGCATTATCTGCCGTGTGTAGAATTTATGTGTAACTTTGCAGGATGAGGGCTTACTTCAAACTGCTGTGTCACAGCACAAGCAGTGAAGATGCAACAACAACACCACCCTGCAGATTTAACAGCATATGCTAGTTTTCATTTGTAAATAAAAAATCTGTACTTAAAACACGTAAAATTCACAGTCACTATGTTTTGATTATATTGATAACAATTACCATGACATATACCCTACATACCGTATGCAGCTACAAAATCTCTGGAAAGCAAGAAGCAACTTGTGGAAGACAGTAAGAACAATTGAAATAAAACTTGATACAAGTGACCTAATTTATAATCTCCTTTCCATATGAAGTCACTTAAAAACACATATTGTAAACCTACCTGTTCTCCAGCCACTGTACATACTATTGTCTAATAATCAGATGACAGTACTTTTAGATGTTTGTCTTCTATGGGTTTATTAGAAAAATAAATGCTATCTTTTTAAGGTCTGGGAATCTTACCTATTTAATGGCATGCTGCCCTAGCTAAATGATGAATCCTGTCTATTGCTTTTCAAATGCACCAACCTTCTCAAAAACACTGGATGGTGTCATCAAACAAAACCTGATGTTCTGAATGATGGTGTCCGTATGCCTCCAGCGTCTTCTATCATGGCGCAGCCAGGCCTGAACAGCTTCATACAGCTCTATCTCTGGAAACCTGCTCAGATGATCATTATCCAAGTAAGACATGAGCTTCTCAAAGCTCAGATAGGAAAGGAAGTCAGGTCTGGACATGAGCGGCACAAAATTCTCTAGCAGGAAGGAGTCCAATTTTTCCCTCACTCCTTCGATGTTTACACCAAAGTCATCCAGAAGTCTCATAATTTCTGCACAGTTTTCTAAGCAGATTTTAGCTAAGAGAAAAGAGCAGCAAAATTTTACCACCTCTATAAGCTGAACATACATAGCAGCCTGAAGGATTTCATGAACAGTGTTCATACTCAGTTCAATAGTTCCATAGTACATGAATTGTAGGACATGACTGAAGCCTGTAGCTGTCAGACCTTTCAAATGGATTTTGTCCTGATCTCGTTCTCGCATATCAGCTGTGAACATAATCCTGAAGTAATCACTCTGGGTGGCAAGCAGTGCTTTATGGGCCTGAAATTGGTGGTCTTCAATGACAAGTGTGACATCAAGAAGCAATCCCTCCTCATACAGTGCTCTGAATCCAGCAGAGACACTGGTGTCATGGATGGAGGAGCTAAACCCTTCCACGTCCCCTGCCATGAATCACCTGGGGGGAAGAAAAAATAAATAAATAAAAATAAAAATAAATTTTAATTTCTAATAACATATCATAAGCTCTTCCTGACCAGATAAATCCCAACTGAGATTGATATTATTAAGACTTGTAAATCTTCACCATCCTTTTTGTTTTCTTTTCAGCTGAAAAGTCAACTTAAGAAACAACTTAAACCACAAACTTTAATTACTTCTCCCCCCAAAATATTCTCATTTTAAATAAAAGGTAACGAACAAGAATAACTATGCCAAAGTGATTCCTCACTCCAAGCTACTTAGTGGTCAGACAACGAATATGCAACGCTAAAAAGGTTGCCATGTTTTTTTTCCTATCCCCCCTCCCACCCAATCCTCCTAAAGAATTTATCTCAAGGAAGCAATAAAACACCCACTCTTGAATATCAAAGGTTTTAGAAAGGAAGTCAAACTTCCTTGACTTCGGGAACAAGCTCCAGTAGATTTGTACAAGGTATAACCTAAACAAATTTTAGTCTCTTTAAAAATACGTCAATTTACTCAAAAGTTATTTCTAGGAAGCTGAACATTTTCAGAGATACTATTTAATTTTGTGTGTCTCACTTCTCTTGTAAAAACATAGTGCCTTTTCCCCTCTCTTGTTTCTTACTATAGGGATTAATTAGGTGAGGAGATTTATGAAGTGCAATATACTAAGGCAATAGGAAGCACTGACAACATTAGGTCACAACAGATAATATTCTGTATACTGGGTTTAGTGAAGCTTAATTGCTTATTAAGCATTTGAACATTTGTAGATGCATAGTGTTACTTACACGCAAGCTATAGTCGAACTGCGAATAAGTCAAAAAGAAATTAAAGACTAGTGGGATCCTGCCCTGTTAAAGTTAAGGAAGATAAATATTCAATACGAATCTATATAAAAAGCTATTAAAAATCTAGGAATTTCTCACAATCTTTCTCGACATCCTTGAGTTTAGGCAGGCCGAAGTAGCACAAGACAGCTTGAACCAATCCAACAATTTATCACTAGCCAAAAGGCAACAGCACACTCCATTCTCCCTCTCTGTCGTTCTGGGGTTGGAGCTCCTGCTGCCTACTGTGAGCCATTCCCGGCGCTCACTGGACTGCTCTAGAAAGCCAGTTCAACACATAAACCTGACAGAAAACTAAACCAAGGCGGGAGGGGGTCGGGACACACTCAACGACACAAACACCACCACCCACTAGCACTCACAAAATCTCAAAACCAGAGAGCTTCCCGCTTATCAGTGAGCTGACTCAACGCTGCAGGGTGGGGTATGGCACAAGAACCGACCTGATGCAGAGGGCAGGACATCACACATGAGCAGCAACAGGGAAGAAGAGTAACATCTTCCCCTTCTGGCATTAATCAGCTACTAGAATTGATTCAACCATTGTTTCACTTTATCCCACCTTAAATTATACTGCAACATTCACTCAGTTTTTTTGTGCATTTAGCTCTGAATTTCCTGTAACAATTAAAGTTAATAATGTTTTTGTACTGCTAACCTACACGAAAAGCTAAACAACACCAACATCAACACATTTAACAAGCTGCTAATTGTCAAGTTAATAGAACTTTACAGCAGTATATGAACCCAGAAGTGACTCTAGGTTGGCCCAGGTTTCACAACTTCAGAGCAGTTACCGTGTTACTCCCACATCCCGACTGCTGCCATTTTAACTGGAATGTGTTTTATTAGACTCCATCAAAAGACAATCATCTTCCCTCCTTAATTCATCAGCACCTATCCCGGAAAACAAAACTGGAGATACTCTTTGTCTATGAAAAACTAAAATGGTAAGTGGGTGTTTGTAGCCACACCTCATGGAATTAGCACCGCTCCCACACTGTTGAAGCCTGCTGACAGGTTCCATGCACAACAGAGTTAAGGCTGGGAGTGTTCATGAAAATTAAGGCCTTATGACAGAGACAGAATTCAAATTCCTGGAAGTAAGAGCAGCAGTAAGAGAACAAAGCTGACAATGCAGTCACTTTCTCGCCAATATCCATGATAGCACAGTCCTCTCAATGTCACTGAAGACAGAGAGGAAAGGCAAACTCCTCTGGAGCTTCATACTGCAAGTCCCTTATTCCTGAACACAACACATGCTTACCAGAAAGAAAAATTACCATTAAATATTTGTCTTAGTTGTTTCTAATTCTTACATAAAAGCAGACAAGGAAAGAATTGCTTTACTAACACTTACTACCTCAAAAAGAAGCAGCAAACTGAGAAGGAAGCATAAAGCCTGACTTCTCAAGATTTTGCTTTCGAATTGGATTTCTGATATCAAATAAAAAGGTAAACACTAATATGAGCTTTTTTCCTTTCACTAGAGCATTTGTAACTCCTCCGCTCCCCCCTCGCACCCCCAGTTCTCTGATGTTTAATAATAGCTGAGCTCATACTTCAGTCTTTCCTGTTTAAGGGATTCGGTGGTCACTGGCCTTTAAATGGACCACCCATTTTCATTAAATATACAGGAACTTGAAACAACTATTTTGCTTGAAATTGGCCAAGAGGTTCAAAGGTTACTAGGATGCTCAGACAGTACAACTGTGTAAGTTACATTTCTTTAGGAGACCAACTAAGACATACAGCTCAGCTTCAATTCCAAGACCAACGGAAAAGACAGGATAGGATGGTTGGAATTAGCAAATGCAAGACATGAACAGAATAACAGAACAATATATTCACGGAAAAAAAGCCAGAAATGAAGTAACATTCCATTCCCCAGGTGACTGAAGCAACATGTATTAATCTGAAAACAATGGAATCTCCCATCATACAGGCTCATGCAGGTGGCAATCTCACAGAAGGGACGAAAGAATCGTACCAGTAAGCTCCAAACACATACTAGGATCTTTCCCCTTAATGTGAGAAAGATAATCATGTTATAGCTACTCTGCAAACAAAAGGAGAGAAATTAACTTTTATACAGGATAGCTTTAAAAGGCCTCTTTTACCACCCCCAAAGAAGCAAAAAGGAAAACTTGGCAGATGAAGACAAGCAGAGACAAACGATAGAGGGTAAACACACCAAATCCAGAGGAGAGCCTTCGGTGTTCCTTTTAAAGGATCAAAACAAATACATAATACACAAACCCCAAAAACTAGCATCAGAGAGAGCCCTGGGCAACCGGCTGTAGGTGGCTTTGCTGAGCAGGCAGGGGGGTGGACCAGGTGACCTCCAAAGGTCCCTTCCAACTTCAATCGATCTGTGATTCTGTGATCACGTTGCTTTTACATGAGAATCTACTGATTTTTTTTTTTCAATGATCCTTTTAATTCTGATTAAATAGCAATAAGACACACACACTCACAAAAATTTCAAATTTTAAATCTATCAAAAAATAAGGTATTAGGAATCACCAAAATACATTGAAAAAAACACCCCTGCATTTAAGGAATACCTTTTAGGTTATAATTTTCACATCTCCCTAAAACTGACTATTCTGTAAAAATGTATTAAAACCAGAAATTAGTTGCAAAACTCTACAATGGTAACAAAGTGATCAACACTCTGAAATTATTATTTCAGAATGTTTTTAAAACATGGAGGTTTAAGTCATTTAATCCTGCTTTTCACAACCCTGCTTATATTTAGTAAATCTACAGTTTTCAATCGCAAAATATTTTTCCTCCCAAACATCAGACAGCATTTAGTGGATTATTTAGTAGAAATAGAATCAGTAAGATTTCTCCGTAACACCATCTAAAGAAGTTTCAGAATTGTATGAGTGAAAAGCAAGACTACTTGTCTTCCTAATTAAATAAAAGAGTAAATACCCCTTTTGTGGCATAAAGCCATATACAACATCAGCAGATCTATTTTTCTTTACAACACGGAAATGTATTGGCCAGTACCAATACACAAGTGGGTTAATACAGCACAGAGACTGGGAAACTAGATAGTTAAATGTATATTATGATCAACTGGTAAAAATCTTCTATAGCTAATATCCTTAGTCAAAAGCAAATAGCAATGTGGTAGTTCAAATATTAAAAAAGCAATACAAAATACTCTCAAATGAAGTCATTTTTCTAAAGCGTAGCTATGCCATTCCTCCCACACACCGACTTGCAATCTTAGACATAATTCTATGCACGATTCAAATGTTGCAGCTTATTTCCCAGATGACAATAACGTAACGATTTTTTTTTTCATATTTTCAATAAATATGCAAAATTCAGAGTTAGATTTTCTTGACCCATGCAAATCACAATAACACACTTAATCCTAAGGAAGACATGTAGCCTATAGTGGTCTGTAAGAAAACTGGAACAAAAAATTCCAATGCATAAACAATAAAGGGGGGGGGAAATCATCTAAGTTGACGTTCTGCATTGTTCTGCGCATACTAGAGCTGATCAGTATGATGCAGCACAGGAAGTAAGACTCTCTGCTGAAAAGCCAAAAGAGAAATACGCTTAACCTTATTAGCTTTTCCTGACGTTTCTTCCTTTTAGCACATAATGCATCAGAGTCTACTCTGCCGTGACTGTAAAAGCCCTTCAAACACTGATTTCTCATCTTTATTCCGCAGCTGTAACATAAGTCTGAAAACCCTGTTCCAGACTGCTTTTTCTTGCTAAACAAGGAGAACCTTCTTTCCTCAGGGTGTCTGAGGCTCCTAATCACAAGCAGAAGAAATGGAGTCTAAATGCACAGCCTACTGAGAAGGAAGTTACGGAATACCCACTTTTGGCTCATGCCCTGCTTGATTTAAAAATCTATCCAAAAGCAGTACTTCCTGAAAAAATGCCCTTTAAATAAATGTGTTTATGTAATATGTAAGCTTATATGCAGTTTCTAGGGATAGAAATGTATTGTTCTAAGAAAATATTGCCAAAACCAACTCTAGCACACCAGCTGAAAGGCAGATTTCTGTTTTCCTTTACTGCTGTTCCTTAATAACTCATTTGAGATGCTGAGACAGAACTAGCAAGTTCCTTTGTTTACAGATTTAGAAGTATTTGTTCATTCTACCTA